ATAGTAATTTTACACGGACCTGTTTGTGCGGCAGAACTCAAGTGGTTAGCGGTTCGAACGGGTGCGTTGAAACGGTGTGTTCGCCGACGGTGTTAATTGACATAAGCGGGTAGACCGTTTCTGCCGTATTCCCCTCCCCACGGTGACCAACATATCGTTGGTATGACTTGCGCTACAGTCGTTACGGCTAATAAAGGCAACACGAGTCGCGAGGCATCGTGTATAACGAAACGACGCGAGGCCGTGTCAATATACCTCAATCATTCGACATACTTTTTTTTTTAAATCGGACCATTTTCCTTAATACAGGGGAGGTTCAAAACTTAAAAGTGCATATAGAAAGTAGAACTTTTTGAACTTAATTTTTGAAAGTGTTCCGGAAATACTGACACTTTTATTTATATCTTAAATTAAATCTTATGTAATATACTTTAATATTAAAAAAAAAAAAAATTGGACTTTATTTTGTTTTAATGGTGAAAACAGTCATCAAAATTAATTAAAAAAATACGATTTTTGTAAGAAAATTCTTTTTCATATTTTTAACTTTATAACGCTATAAATCTTTGAAAAATGTATGGACCAATACAATTTGTTTATAAGAATTAATATTTATTTACCTCTTTAATTCGACATACTTGTTTTTTAAATCAGACCATTTTCCTTAATACAGGGGAAGTTCAAAACATAAAAATGCATAGAAAAAAATAGAACTTTCTGAAAACATCGTGAAAAGTTGATTTAGAAAAGTACGCTTTTGTTTTTGATGAAAGTTCCTTGTAAAATATTTTTTATTGAAAAGTATTGCGTGAAGCTCTTTAAATTTTATACGCATTAAAAGTAAAGAAATATACAACTACTTTATTATTTTTATAATATCTCCACAAAAATTACAATATAAAATTATTGAATATCAATTTCATACTATATTTAATTACTCAAATTATTATTTATTCATATATAATAATTATAAATCAAATATTAAATATATTATAATATTTATATTTGGATAAAAATTAAGGGAATAAGAGTTATTGTTGTTTTTGAAATAATATACCAATTTCTTAAAATTAAACAATATCTACAGATATGCATCGAAGCGTTTCTTATGATAGTGGTTTTAATCACTATCAGATATCATTTATTCTTGTCCCAACTATACCACGTCCATACTATGCCGTGACCTCACTGTGCTACTGTTTTTTTTTTCAATTTTTTTACTTAAAACTCCCATAAAAATTTGAAAAATTTATGGATCATTTCAATTTTTTATGATAACTTCTATTTATATACGTTACTCATTCGATATATTTTTTTTTTAAATCGAACCATTTCTATACAGGGGTGGTTAAAAATTTAAAAATTCGTATAAAAAGTAGAACCTTTTCAAATTATTTTTAATTAAAATATATTTATTAATATAGTTATGCGTATGAATACACGTAATCTAAATCAAACATAAATATTTGTTATATTAATTAGAAGGATTTTGTTATTATTTAGGCCATATGTGAAACTCTAATTGTAAACTTGAAATCGTCGCAAAAATGTGTTTAGAAAATTATATTTTGGTCTCGGACGAAAATTCCTTGTAGACCAGTAAATTTATTTATAAATAAGCGACTTTATTTTTTTAAGTATTGCATAATGACTTTTAACTTTTATATACGTTTGCCATAAAATTAAAATAACTGCTTTATAATTTTTTATAATTTCTCTGTAAAAATTACAATACTAAATTATTAAATATCAATTTCATTCTATATTTAATTGCTGTAATAAATATTTATTCATATATTACACTTTAAATCATAAAACTTGTAATCGTGATATAATTACTATCCACAAAAAGTTAAAATAAAAAATTATATGAATATATAATTATATGAAATGTCAATTATGCATATATATATATATTTGTCATATATATATTTTGCATATATATCTCACGTATGTCTATAAATGTATACAAAAAATAATAATAATCAGTTTAAACTGAATATTTTTTAACAACGCTTATATCATTGTAAAAAAAAAGAAGACTATTACATCAGTTTAAAAAGTCGATATAAGGTTGAACACAAATGCTACTGTATTGCCTATCCAATACGCCGTGTGTGCGAAGTGATACAAAATTGTATTGGTAGTAAGTTTCATTCGTCAATTACTTTAGTTTAGAGTAGGACACCCATAAAAAAATATACTACAGGATGAAAAAATTACTGCGACAGCTTAAGTCTAAAACATTGTTAATTATTTAACATAAGTCTATAATTAGACGGACAATATATTTTAATTTCCCTATAGTTGGATCGTATATAGCTGACCAGCGTTCTACCAAATAACACCTCTAGTATTTGGAATTCTATTCATAACTGTTACCGCAAAAGCTTTTTATAATGACAAAAACTCAAATGTATAAATTTTGTGACTAGGATTATATGATATAATCCTAAAGAAAAAACTACCGCGTGTATGTGCTAGTTTCTTACTATAATAACCAAATTAATATCTTAATTATCACTGAGCTTAATTAATTATAGCTTTTAATAATGTATATTTTATGTTACTAAAAAAAAAATTAATTTAAATTGAAATGAAGACCGTATTGTTTTTTACTACAAACAGACTAGTATACATTTTCTATGATTCTACGTGAATAAATTGGTTCAAATTTCAAACAAAAAATAAAAATTATAGTCTGTTTTCAGTGATTTTCTAAGTTTTTTTTAGAGTTATTTTAAATGTTTTAATATAAGAATTTGAAAAAAAAAACATCGATTAAATTAATAATTAATACATAAATTATGTATAACAGTTTAAAGATATTTATTAAACTCGATAAAATAGGTAGATCGCGTATGCCTGGAATAATGTTTAAAATAAAAGGATACGTCACGTTTTCTCCGAATGATCATACACGGTTTGAAAATGCTGGCTGGAGTGTTGTAACTTGAAGATATCTATATCTTTCTTAAAATTAAGCAAAGCTTTATTGCTACTTTCATCGGTATTTTTGTTCAGTGTTCTACCTAAAGTACATAAAATAATTTATTGTAATACGCTTAAGTAGAAGAGTAAATTAACAGCTAATGGCGGTCAAAATAATCGGAGGAATTAGGGTTGTAGATGTAGGATGGGGAACTAGGAAATATAATTAGAAATTTCCTTCAGAAATTTAGCCAAATTATTTATATTTTTATAATAAAATAATTTTTATTTTACGAAACAAAATCTTATTTGGGTAGAAAAATTTACAAAAGTAACTTTTCAATTAAAAAACAACAATTTTCACNATTTACAAAAGTAACTTTTCAATTAAAAAACAAAAATTTTCACTCATCATCATTTAATGATTTATCTCTGAGATAATCTTTGAGTTTCTACTCTTCGCCTCATTATTAACATACGAAATACACATCTTATTCAAAAATGTATAAACACCTTTGTAGATTATGGCTCAATCTATTCTACCACAGAAAGTATTATTTTAACTCATCTCACATTAATACTAGATTATTTACTTAAATATTCTTCATATCAAATTTCACAAATTTTATTCAAAGACGAAAAAATTTGACATGTGAATTCTAAAACAATTGATAAAAAATAATTCTTACCCCAATAATTATTAATTATCAATAATTAACATAAATATAAAAATTTTCGGTAACTTTTATTTTTAACAATGATAAATTCAAAACTGTGATATTAATTCTAATTTTACTTATTTCAAAAATTAAACTCATATATTTATTTGTATTAATTAATATAACAAATTAAAGAATCCTCTATTGATTCAGATAAAATTGATCAATACACTCAAAATTTAGCTTTATGGTAAAAAAAGGCCCATATAAGGGCTTTTTCTTTGTATAAAAGTGTCTCAGATGTAACTGTAACGCTTATACATTACTAGCTGACCCATTTAATCCATGTATCCATTTTCATCCGTGTTTCCCTTGACGAACATAATTGTTTTATAATTTAAACCCGAAAAATCTAACATTTGTATGTTGGTGACACTGTAGGACTATGCACATGTAACTCGTGTTGGAAAAATTTCTATGTGATAGAGAGAAAGGTCATAATAATCCCAAAACTGCATCTTTTCCTAATATATTAGATATATGTTATTAGTTAGATCTGAGTCATGCTATATGAAATTCAGTAAAATTTGCAACATATTATTAAATAATTCATGTAAAAATAAATAAATAATATTTGAATTTATGTCATATCATCATTTTATAACCCCCTAAAATTCTTTTTAATCTAAGTATTTTTTATCTATAAAATATGATATATTAAATTATTAAATTATTAAAACAAATGAAATTTTTTGAAAAGAACTTTAGAAAATATAAAAATATTCACAGCTGACTATCACACGTGTACAAACAAATCACAACATCTTATCATGATTATTTACTGACAAACGCCGTTGAAGTACGCATTTGGCTAAACACAAATATGTATATATACAAATAGACAACAAAAATAAATAGATACTTTTTGTTGCGTTACAAGTTGTCAAGGTGTGTAGACCATTTAGTATTTTAGACACAAAAAAAACCAAGAATATCTGGTATTTTCCTGAGTGTGGTAGGCCAGTAAGTAAATGAGGGAGGAGTATGAATTTTGTAGTATTGAGTTTGAGTAAATAGATTGAGAGTTATTCCCCGAGAGTTGTTCGTACGACAGCTCCAGTGTGTGTTTTTTGCATTGATGTCGCCTCCTTTTATGAATTTTTATCCTTGTGTATGAAAAAAATTACTAAATTGTGCTAGAGTGATGACATGGCGTGGCGTAATTTTAAATAGAAAATTTTTAATGTAGATGATGTCATTATAAAAACAATTGTAATGAAGTCTAACAGTATTAATGATAAATACACAAAAATAATTTTTTTTTATGAATAATATCATTTTAGAATAATTTTAGAATATTTACACTATTTTACAAAAATAATTTTAGTATAAATTGAAAAACATATGTAATATTAATTATATGAAATTTAAAAATTTGAATAGTTATTTTGTAAATCGCTGGATTCTTCAAAAGAAAAATCATTGTCATGCATTTAAAAATTATACTTATCATTTGTTTAGTATGTTTTTTTACTGGCACAATGGTAAGCATTTATTCATTTTTTTACTTACATTTTTAAATAATATATAACTCTTTAAAGAGTAAGGGACTTACAGCATGTCAATTATGGCACGTTATAAATATTTCGTCATGGTATACTACTGCTAGTCCTGAAACAGTACAACTAATTTTAAATATATTTGATATCAAAGAGAACTACAAAGATTATAACAGACAAGGTAATTTACAATTCGTAAAATTATATATAAAATACTCAATTTTAAAAACTATAAAAATATGCTTAGGGCTTTTATATTTGAATATTTTTTACATTAGTTGCCTTCAATTAATATTAACTTTATACTCATTTATTGAACAGAAAATAAATTGTTTTATCATTTGCTCCAAACTTATTTATTTCCATTTTAATAATATGATAAATACAGTTATAAAACAAATAAAAAATTGTATATTTTCACAGTAATAATTGGTTAAAATTGTTACAAATTTATTTTGGTAATTATTGTTAACTGGCCATAAGACCTAGGTTTGGTTGAGATATACGTAAAAAAAAAAACGGTAGCACAGTGGGGTCGCGACATAGTAAGAACGTGACATAGTTGGAATAGTATAGATATTTGACAATGATTAAAATTACTACCATAAGAAACGCTTCGATAAAAATCTGTAGTTAGTGTTTAATTTTAAAAAATTGGTGGATTATTGAAGAACATAATTTTCACTTCAAAAGAATTAAGAATAAATTACAAAAAATCTTTACCACGGGCAACGGCAAACGTTTGTCGCATTCCAACACATACAAATACACACTACTATACATGTACAAGGTTTTAGTAAATGGTATATCACGAGTAGTAGGGTGATATTTAGTAGGACCTAAAAATAGCCAAATCGAAAACTAAAATTTCCTATCTCCAAAATTGGGGGTTTTCCGGTTCCCCCACTTTAAATTTTATTTTAAAATACATTAATTGCAGTAAAAACGAATAACCTAAAGTAAACAAATAGCCTGTATTGTAAAACATTTTTAATGTGCTTCACTTGCTTAATAATGTAATTTAAATTTAAACTTTTTCATTTTCAAAACCACCATTTATTTCAAGTCTTTTGTTATGAAAATTTAAGTAGACTAATCTTATAAACAGTGTTTTTTTTTTATTTAAAAGACAGTACATCGAGAAAAAAATACCACTAGTTTATCGTCCCGCTATTAAAATACTAAAACACAGCAAGACTATTTTTGGACATCATCAGCAAATCGGAGGCGATCTAAAAAGAAAAAAATGATAATTTTATAATAGCTTTAATGATAAAAATTATAATCGGTTTGAATAAATAATAAAAGACAAAATAAACTTGTGAAATTAAAAAAATATCACATTATCTGTGGCTTTTTCCAGTTTTTCTCGTTATGTAATCATTTAAACTAAAAATAAACTGCATCACAGAACTCCCAGTAAAATTTCAATACAAATTGATAGGTCACACTAAAGTGAAATTTTTTTTCAACTTTGAACCCTAAGTTCATGGGAGGGCACGAAAGTTGCGAAAATCGATTGACCACTCAATTTATATGAGAATTTTGTGGTAAATACCATTGTGATGTTTATTTTTTATTACAAAAAAATTTAAAGTGGGGGAACCGGAAAACCCCCAATTTTGGAGATAGGAAATTTTAGTTTTCGATTTGGCTATTTTTAGGTCCTAATGAATATAACCCTATTACTCGTGACATAGCATTTACTAACACCCTGTATAACACTATAATTTGTGCTGCAACTTAATCGTATCCAAACGATATATGCCGATTTTAAAACAAACTTACATGACATAGCGCAACAAAAAAATACAAAACATGGTGATTTAATTCAAAGTTACTGATTTTTCAAATAAAATTTTTAATTCAATTGATTATATCCGATATCTTTAATAAGTCGACAAATTTTGTTTAATAAGTATTAACAATTTTTCATTATAATTAAAAATTATGAAATTCAAATAATTTTTAATTTTTTTATAATAAGCTGTATTTTATAAATAGTATATCATTACATACAGTACGATGATGTTTTACAAATTAACTTATAAGTAACTTAATTTACTTCTATATCCATATTTATTTTAAAAAATTGACGAAAATAATCATGTATAATATTATACATGTAAATTATTTTTTTAAATTTTATTTTGTATTAAATTTGTATTGGAGCAAATAAAAGAAAAGTAGACAGGGTCAATTTCATTATTACGCTTAACTACGTTCCGTAAGATTGTTGGTGTCTTTACAATATATTTACCCNGAAGTAGACAGGGTCAATTTCATTATTACGCTTAACTACGTTCCGTAAGATTGTTGGTGTCTTTACAATATATTTACCCCAGAACTGGTATTCATTTATATTATTATACTATATTTTTTATACCTTGATTTTTATCTATACTGTTTATACGGCATTAAGTAATGCCGAGCAACAAAAATTTACATATGTTACACTGTCTACCTGAAATTGTATAATATTCTGAAATTATAATATAAAATTAAATCTTAATTCAAATTTAAAAAGTTATAGCTCAAAAATTATTTTTAAAGTCACGTTTTTCAACGTTAATATTTATAATACAAAATTGCTTTAAATATTATACTAAAACAATAGTATAAATTCATTTGATTTTTCAAAGTTAACTCCTTAATAGCTTTAATAGAAACATTTTTTAATATTAAAAGTTAACAAAATTGAATGTAATAAGTTATGATAAAAACTATTTACTGGAACATCTTTTTATATTTTCATTCATTTTCGAGGAAAAATATTTAACATGAAATTTTGGTCACCCTTTATTTAAGGAATTAATATTTTATAGATCCATTCCACGTAAGAGTCAACAAGATTCTGAGTTTTTTAGTTGAAATTGACAAGCGTGGCGATTCCGAAGAGGTAAAATAATAGATTAATTAGTTTAATATTTGTTTTATATGAATTAATAAGTAAATTATTTTACATTGTGTAGGTAGAGAAACTGAATGAAATTGACGTTGAAAAAATCTCAATTGAATTCCTTAAGGTTGACAATAAAGGAGAAGGTGTAATCGATAAGAGTCAATGCCATACATTGATTGATTTGATTGGCTACAATAATCTTATTGGAAGCGTAATTATAAATTTATTTACATAGAAGTTACATCGCTCAAAATGTTTGTCCTTCTAATACAAAAATAATAGTTCAGAGTGATTTTGAAAAATTAATTATTGAATTAATAGAAGTATATTCAGTAGAATTATAAACAAACAATTTAGTAATTCTCTGTAATAATTATATATTTTGTTTCTCGATTTTTATTAATCCTCATTACCAGAAAATTAAAGTTAACGTCAACTTATATGGATAATCAATTTATTTAATTTTACCCTAGTTATGACAAAAAATAAATTATGAATTGAAACATTTATTTAATTGATATTCTTATTCAAACTAATGTATACTAAAGAGTTTTGAATTTTTTTATGTATAATTTTTAAGAAAAAATAGTAACACGTTACATTATGGTAGCATATAATTATATTAATTTAGAACCCCACTATTCAACTATAACCCTGATTCTGACCCATTTGACTGCCACTAGCTGTGAATTTACTCTTGTACTTAAACGTATTACTATAAATTATTTTGTGTACTTTAGACTGAGACATTGAATAAAATTGACGATGAAAGTAGCAATGAAGCTCTGCTTAATTTTAAGAAATATATTAATAATGACTGTAATTATTTAACAAACTATTGAAAAAATCTTTTTTTTCTTTAATATTATTGTATTTCTTTTAGCTACTTTGATCTTCAATTTAGCTGAAATATTATTCAGAGTCTTATTTCAAAGGACGCAATTAAAAAATACCGCTTTTGGAAAACTTGAAGATGGTGTTTTTTACTGGAATGCTATGTATCAAAATATCAATTCATCTTTAGACACTCACAATATTTAGCTAAAACTTGAAATATTCTAAAATTATCAAATTTTTAATATCTAAATTTACTCATTTATTGTATTAAATTATAATTATTGCTTTAAGTTCTAAATCTAAATCTAGTTGTATTTATATTGTGGACTCTGTGCTGCTCATAGGCAACACCACTATAAAATTTCGATTTTTCGAGATTATATACGTGTATTAAATAACCAGCACTATAAATACAAGTAACTAATTGTAGCGTTTATGATATGCGATAACTATTATATGTAGTATATATATTAACACATGTACTAAATATCACATATATATGAATAAAGCAAGAATCATCTAAGGAATGTTTCCCTTTTAGGGTAATGAAAATAACTATTTATCAACACATGTTTCAAACCAGTCCCCTACAATTCATTAATACGCCCACGCCAGGTTTTCTATCACAATTAACCAAACACAAATAATTATCCAACATCTTAGGAATTTCAATAGAGATCGCTGGCTTACTTTATCCGGCGTATAAAAAGCCATTTTTTTCTCGTAAAAGTGCTATCGCTCTCGTGGCTCTGGGGGCTCTATTATCACACTCATCCCTCTTTAGCGGTTGATGGTCAATATTCTCTTACATGGAATCNAGTGCTCTCGCTCTCGTGGCTCTGGGGGCTCTATTATCACACTCATCCCTCTTTAGCGGTTGATGGTCAATATTCTCTTACATGGAATCTGCGTCAGTATAAGTAAATATTTTGTCCCTGTGACTTAATTTTTTTTTTATATATATCATCCTAAGGGGTGACACATTGTTTTAGATGATTTATTAATATTTTACCCAGGAACAAGTTTTATTTATTTTTATTATCACCTAATGCCATCACGACAAATAAATATAATTTCTATTTTTATATCAAGGTTTTAAATATTATTGTGCCCTTTATTTCTGGACAGCCTCAAATGAGCCTAAAACAGTGAAAAAGCGTAATTTTACTTATATAGGCATAATAGCCTTATACATTATCGTATATTCATAATAAAGCTTATGGTACCCTTCATTTATGAACAGCCTTGAATGAAGAAGCATAATTTGTGATTATTATTAATTAGTTTTAGTAGTAGTACTTTATACCTGTGAACTCGCCAGTCATAAGGAACTCTGCCAAATTACCTCTCGGTAAAGTGTAGGCATTTGAGGTACAGAGTAGTACTAAACGTATAAGAAGAGTATTTTTGAAGTCCGTCGACAAGCCAGTTCTAGAGCTAGTAGTCCAGGTAGAGTTCATTTTCAAATATATAGTCCGTAAGATAGGAAACTACATCTTGGAAATATCTTCTGCGCGTGTACCCGCCATACATAAGGGACTATGCCAAATTACCTCTTGGTAAAGTGTAGGCAGTTGACGTAAAAGATCGCTGGTTACTTCATCCGGCATATAAAAATCCATTTTTTTCTCGTAAAAGTGCTCTCGCTCTCATGGCTCTGGTGGTTTTATCATCACTTTCAACCCTCTTTAGCGGTTGATGATTGACACGGCACCGCCCTTTGCGCTAGGCTGGCGCTCACCCATGTCTCTCTCGATATCAGCCGTCCAGCTATTAATATGACAATCGGTTGTCTCCCCGCCCTTGACACCGAAATAAGGCTGCCGNTTTCTCCCCGCCTTTGACACCGAGATAAGGCTGCCGCCGAATATGAAACGGATATTGCGTTCTGTTGCGTTTCCGACGTATATCTTAACTGGTTGCCCCGTCTGTTCTGTGTTATTTTTTCTTCAGCCTTTTGGCTCGTTTCTATAACGTTTTTCGACGTCTGTTACTGTGGCCTTTTTCCAGCACCTTGTGCGGATACTCTCAGCCTGCAATTGTGCTGCGACATAAGTGTTGGTGTTATTTATTTAGTACCCGCTAGAGCTATATATATATATATATATATTAATATTTATTTATCGGTACATTTTGTACACGCTTAACCGTATACTGGATACGCGACAACTGGCTCCCCGAACAGGAATTCAAACCGGCCGAATGAAGTAAAGGTAATAGGCTTTGAGCCGATTCAGTTTTATTTCTTATTATATTAGATTTTAGTTTTAACTTGGAACGGTGAAGTCTCCCTTAAAAATTTTATTGTTCATATAGTTATTTGAACGGATTTCACTGGTGACAGCAGTGAATTTTTACCTGGGTTATTCACAGTTACTTGTTAGCCGAAGTAGATTTAGCGTGGTCTCTGGGAAAATTTTTTTTTTATAAATATAAAGTTAGAGCAGTTTATCTANCTGGGAAAATTTTTTTTTTATAAATATAAAGTTAGAGCAGTTTATCTAATATAATCCACCGTAAGTATTGTCATTGAAAAGTGTTGGTTACAAAGTTTGTTATAAAGACCTTATTGATATCGACAAATAGTGAATTTCCGGCCGATAGTTACAGTCTTTTGGTAAATAAAATTAGTATATTTTCGTCTGACCTTGTCAAAGCGGCCGATTTCCAGGTAACCGTTATTATTATTGTCCACTCGCTGCTATATCATATACGGCGGCCCCGTACCATCTTATCGCGGTACTTTATAACAACAATAGCAATAATAATAACACTTGTTTCCTACAGCAGTAGCAAATTTGACCGTAAACGGAGATATTGTTTATCTCCGCTATTAACGTAGCATACATTTGATTATTAGGGTTTGTAAATAAACATAGTATTCACGGTCAATATGTCGGGGAAATCATTAGCACAAATGAATTGCGCTGAATTACGTCGCGAATGCGTTTTTAGACAGCTACCGTGCTACGCGACGAAACCCAACATGCTAATTATGCTAGAGGAAAACATACGTAGTGAAGGGAGGAATCCAGCTACCGAAATTTTACCGCGCCGTACGCCACTCGATAGCGAAATTCCGGTCCGCGAACCCGAAGTAGGGGTTTTATACAACTCCACGGACCGTATCTGTGAACTCGACGCGAATAATCAGCGGCCCGGCGTAGCAACATTACCGGAGGAACATCCGGTGAACCTCGCGCTACACACATCAGATGACGAGTCTGATGTCGATCAACCGGGGGAAATTACGTATACGTTGCTCGCTCGATAACGCACGCGGCAGAACAAGTCGGGGCGATCCGACAGAACATTCGCGACATTTCGAATAACGCGCGGATCGAGGCACGGATGACTGAATTAGAAAGGTCGCTCTCGCGTATGTCAATGGAACAGCGACAGATTTCAAACATGCTGGAGTGAATCAGTCAAAATATGCTGCCGTCCCCACACGTTGCTGTCCAACCGACTATTCGTCAAGTTAACGTCGAACGAAACGATAGTCGACGATCGGACGCGCATCGCGTTACATTCGGTCCATCGGGAGCGACACGACGCAACATTACACGAGCGCCTCGCGGACATCGAAGCACAAGAAGCCCGCAACCTGAGATGGTCGTACGGACAAGCGTCGCTACACTTCCGTTGTAGCACGGGTTGGCAAGACGAACATATTCCGCGCACTCATACATATGAGAACGAGCCGACCGATTTTTCGTTTACGCGCCAACCACGGGAAGGGCTGTACACACAATATTCTTTATCAGTTTAATAATCGTTCCCTATATGACACATACACTGGCCACCACTGTCAATACCTGTATAATTTTAATATTGTTCATATTTTTATCCGTTTTATATTTTGTAAATTGTTAAGCCGATACCCAAACGTAATCGTCGTCGTCATTATGTCTCGCCCGGTGTGTAAGAAAAATTTGTGCTCTCTTCTAGAGAGTTTCTTCTAGAAAAACAACGTCGTGGTNTCTTTAAAACAACGTCGTGTTATTTTGGCTGTGTGCGTACAGCAAACATTTTTTTGTTATTTTTCGTGCGTGTCGTTCATTATAATAATGTACTAATTTAATCAGACGTCGGCCATTTCCGGGGCCGAGATCCCCATCTTAGGATGAGTCCCATCCGGGACTGGATATCGTATATTGATTTTTTATTTTAATTAATATAATGTTTAAGCCTTTTTCTGTTGTAAATTTATTTTGTTATGAACTGTATATGGACTTTATCATTGCTATTTATAAGGTTATTAGTCAGTGGTGTGTCATGTATATTTAATACATATTATTCACGCAGTGCCCAAGTACGGTCCGGCCGGCCAGATTACAGAAATTATCCGCCGCGCCCGGAGTACACGGACTTGTTCCGATGCGGAAGACACTTCATGTGTAATATTTAAAAGTTGTAGGTTAAAATTTTTTTTTGTCTTAATAATTGTTTTTTTTTCTCTTTTGTCCCTTCATTTGCAGAGTGGTTTTTGCCTTCGGGTTTTGTCCACTATTAACTTAACTAATAATTTAATAAAGTCCTCTTAATTTTCTTAATCAACAAAAATCTTTTTATTGCGTGAATATCTTCAATATTCACGTGTATCTTATTTTTTTTCCCTTTAAATCATTTTCTTTAGTTTTAAGGTAACTGTCTTCGACATACTAAAGTATGTCCACCACTGGTGACATCAAATAAACATACAGTAGAATCTCGGTAATCCGGCCGTTCGATAATCCGGTACGTCCAGTAATCCGGCTCTTTAAACCTGTATGTATTTATTTATAAATTTACTATCGTAAGCCATAAACTCTTAGATAAAACTAAGTAATAACAGATTAAATCCTGATAAACCTATTCGATATTTTATTTTTATTCAGTTAACGTTGAAGTGTTGTGCGTGTTCATTGTGTATCGGTTTGATATTGTGTTGTATCACTTACGTATTAACATGTCGCAACAACAAAAACGAAAACATACTACTTTAACCTTGGTCGAGAAACTAGAAATTTTAAATAAATTAGAAAATGGTGACAAATTAGTAAACCTTGCGAACGAATTTGGAGTAGGCCGTGCTACAATACACGATATAAGAAAAAATAGCGAAAAAATAAAATCTTTTTTCAAAAATAACGAAAGTTTGAAAATAAAGCGCAAAACATTAAAAACTGGCGAGTTTCCTGAAGTTGAAGATGCCTTGTATTTATGGTTTTTGCAAGAACGTAATCGACACACACCTATTTCCGGCGAAATTTTGAAAGAGAAAGCCAAGTATTTTTACAAAAGAATCGCACACAAAGATCAAAAAGATGATTTTCAAGCTAGTGACNATCATTTTCTTTAGTTTTAAGGTAACGGTCTTCGACATACTAAAGTATGTCCACCACTGGTGACATCAAATAAACATATTCTGTTTTATTTACAAGGTATCAGCGTACTATAGTCTACAACAACACTTTATATTTTAGTATATGTATATATAATTTTTTTTTAATCCACTTTGTTTCATCAAAGTGTACATTATTTTATTTAATATTATTGGTTTTCTTATTATTTTTTTTAAATCCACTTATAGTCCGGGTTTTGTTTCTTCTTATGATCAAGACCCTCGCCTAAGTGGTTGGCGACCCCATTTACTTTTGCAAGGGAGCCATGAGGGTGGCGACTCCACAATCCGTTGCGTGGCCAAAGCANATTTTAGTATATGTATATATAATTTTTTTTTAATCCACTTTGTTTCATCAAAGTGTACATTATTTTATTTAATATTATTGGTTTTCTTATTATTTTTTTTAAATCCACTTATGGTCCGG